AGGTAGAGCAGCTGACTGGATGGTGACCCTATACAATTGCAATGCACAAGAATTGAGAAACTTCAATTGTTTAATGGCTGCACTCAGCTGACTGATAAGAAAGCCCAGGAGTGGATTAAGACAGTGAAGAAAGGAAGAAGACCAGTTACTGAGTATACCAAGGAGTTCAGAGAGTTGGCCAATCACCTGCACTGGCCAGAGGACATCCTAGTAAGCTGTTTCCAGGATGGATTCAATGAAGAGCTGTATAATGCCTGTGTAGCTCATGGAGCCCCGGGGCCGCTGTATGATTGGTGCCTGCTAGCTGAGGAAGTGGAGATTGATCAACGCAAGCATCTGCATCACCCAGTGAGACCAAGCTAGAAGCAGCAGACTGAGAAGCAAGGAGAGACCACACGAACTTCACCTGCCCCACCTCGCAGCACTGCCTGCTTCAAATGTGGCAAAGTGAGACATTGAGCCATTGGTTGACACATCAAGACACCTGCCAAGAGAGGGGATGGACTACCAGCCAGGAGACCCCTGAGGACTCCATTGTGCCCCAGGGAGACTGAAATGAGGTCTGAGGAAGTCATAGAGCTCCCCTGGGATCGCAATTGAGAGGGTCGAGCTTCGACTCCCCATTACAATGATCCAGGAGTGGCGGAAGACAACTATGAGGATGACCCATTGATGAGTGGGCCAATTGATCATAACAGTGTCTCTAGAACTCTCCATACCCAGCACAGGGAGGACAATGAAATTAGCAGCTCTGCTGGACTCGAAGTGCACCAGGTGCCTGATTAGCCCAGAACTAGTCAGGAAAATGGGGATTCCCCTCAGGAGACTTAAGACTCCAATTAGTTTTTGCCAACTGGACAGTTCAGTTTCAGGGGGGGTGCCTGCCAACTTTACCACCAGACCCTTATACATCAACCTGGACAGCCACACAGAGACTTTAACATTTATTGTGGCTCTGGGAATGGAATGGCCATTAGTTTTCGGACTGGCTTGGCTAAAGTAGTGGAACCCCATGATCAACTGGAGGAAAGGGCAACTGAGATTCCTGCAAGGGGAAGCTCTGCCCATCACTAAAGAAAATGGTTTACGTCGTGATTTTGCCTCTGCCCTCAGTGAGTCAGACTTGCAAAGCCTCCCAATGGAATACCGAGATTTGGCTGAAGCCTTCAGTGAGCAGAGGGCAGATGAACTCCCCCCTCACCAGCCCACAGACTGTACAATTGAAATCATTCCGGGGTGAAATGAACTCAATGACTCCTAGGGAGTTGAATGAACTAGAAAAATTATCAAAATGAACTTAAAGCGGGAGTTTATCGAACCAGCCAGACCCCGGATAGCAGCCCCTGTATTATTCAGAGAGAAGAAAGATGGCTCTCTTCATCTCTGCATAGATTATAGAAGCCTGAATGCTGTGTGCATGGAAAACATGTACCCATTACCTTTAATGAAAGACATTTTAGCGCACCTATCAAAAGAATTTTTTTTCTCAAAACTGGACTTGAGAGAGGCTTATTATCGCATAAGAATAAAGAAAGGAGATGTGTGGAAAAATGCCTTCAATTGCCCATTGGGTTGCTTCCAAATTAAAGTTCTTCCATTTGGGTTCCAGGGGCCCCCCTTCAGTATTCATGCAACTGATCAACGAAGTCTTACATGATCATTTGTATAAGGGGATCCTAGTTTACCTGGATGATATCCTTATTTACACCAAAACAAAAGATAAACACATTAAGCTAGTCAGAGTGGTACTGAAAAAATTGTGCTCTGCCAAACTGTATGCCAAACTATCAAAATGTGAATTTCACAAAGATCGTATTGATTACCTGGGTTATCACATATCAAATGAAGGGATAGAGATGGACCCAGAGAAAGTGAGGGCAGTCTTGGAGTGGGCACCCCTGAAAACCAGGAAATAACTCCAAAGTTTCCTAGGATTTGCAAATTTCTACAGACAATTCATCCTATCTTTTGCACAAATTGCCCTCCCAATTACAAACCTGTTAAAGACCAGAGGGGGGATAAGCCAAAGGCCAGTCAACCATTAAAATGAACAGGAGAATGTCAAGCAGCTTTTGAGAAACTTAAGAGACTTTTTTCTATGAAGCTGGTTTTGAAACACCCGGACCCAGAACAACCCTTTATAATTCAGGCTGATGCCAGCAATGTGGCTGGGGGAGCAGTTTTGCTCCAAAGAAATAATGAGGGACAATTACAATCGTATGCTTACACCTTGAGGAAATTGTCAAGAGACTGAACAGAGGTGGGCAGCCTGGGAGAAAGAGGCCTACACTGTATGGTGTGCTTTACTAACTTTGAGACATTTCCTTGAAGGAAATAAAATACCATTTCAAGTATGGACTGATCATAAGAACCTTGAAGCATGAAAACACCCAGAAAATTCTCCCCTAAACAAGCAAGGTGATCCCAACATTTCCATTGTTTCAATTTTACAATTCATTACCTTCCTGGGGGAAACAATTTTCTAGCTGATGCCTTGTCCAGGTTACCACAATATAACAGTAAGACAGCAGAAGTGGCCAAACCATTTCTGCATCCTCATCAACTAGCAGCCCCTGTAACCAGGGCCAAATCAAAACCAATGGCTCCTGTTGGAAATACTTTATTACAGGAATTTAAAACTGCCTTAGAAACAGATGAATGGTTTCATAACCATAATAACCTGTGCGCATTAAAAGATGGATTCGCATGGATTGGAGATAAACTTTATGTCCCAGCAGCCTTGAGACTTTAAAGTGATGCAAGCAGGACATGACTCAAAAACTGCTGGATACTTTGGTTTTGTAAAAATCTTACATCTTATTAAGAGACAATTTGGTGGCCTGCATTGAAAAAGGACATAGAAAGTTATGTGACCAGCTGCCCCACATGTGTAGCAGCCAAGAAGCGACAAGGGAAATCCCCAGCACTGCTGCAGCTGGTAGCAAGTCCATCAGCACCCTAGAGAGAGATCTCTATGGATTTCATTGTAGAACTGCCTGAAAGTGCTGGAAACACTGTAATTTGGAGCATCACAGACTTGTTCTCCAGACAAGTTCATTTCATTCCATGCCCCAAAATTCCAACTGCAAAGATTTTAGCAAAACTCTTTGTGAAGAACATATATCGATTTCATGGGGCTCCACAATGTATAATTTCAGACCGAGGGGTTCAATTCACTTCTAAGTTCTGGAAGGCTTTTCTGGACCTGATGGATTCTAATCAAGGGCTATCATCTTCTCACCATCCTCAAACGAATGGGGGGGACAGAGACACTTAACTCAGTTCTAGAACAATAAGATGTTTTATTAATTACCAACAAGAAAATTGGGCTGACCTACTCTTTGCTGAGGTTGCCTATAATACACTGCTGTACACTCCAGTACTGGTTTCACTCCATTTCAAGTAGCAAATGGTCAAATCTTTGTCGCCATGCTTGAACTCCCCACCAAAGAACCTGAGATCCCCTCCTTGCAGGAGTGGCTCAAAAAATTGCAAAACACCTGGCCAGTGGTCAGGAAGGCCTTGGATGAAGCCAGGGAGGCCTATAAAGCCCAAGCTGATAAACGGTGGGTAGAGCAGAAACCATATAAAGTTGGAGGCTGCGTATTCCTCTCTATGAAATATTTACAGTCTTTGCAACCTTCAAAGAAATTGGGGCCTAAATTTATCGGACCTTTTCCAGTTAAGGGCATTATCAACCCTGTGACTGTTGAACTAGATTTGCCAAAACATCTATGGAAAAACCACCCTGTTTTCCATTGTAGTTTGCTCAAACCAGAGGTTATTTCCAATCTCAGGTCTCCTGCACCCCTGGTGCCAACACTTATCACGGTTGAGGGAGAACAAGAATTTGAAATCAAGGACATTTTAGACTGTTTAACACACCACGGGGTGACACAGTACCTAGTAGCTTGGAAGACTCTCCCTTTTGCCCAGAATGAATGGGTGATGCTATGCTGCAGAAGGGAGACAGTGGCGGTTAGCCAGGGATGTGTGCGAGACAATGCAAAGTGGCAGCAGTGAGGGGTGGGGCATGTACCAGAGCCTGCCTTCTCCCACCACTGCTCCCCACTAGCGCAAGGATGGGTGGCACAGCTTTGCTTCCAGAGCTGCTGCCGGCCGGGCCTAATAATGCAAGGATCACTGCTGCCGCCTCCTGCTTCCCTTCATAGCCAGCTCGTCAAGGGGCTCAGAGCAGCAGGAGCAGCAGCAGCCATTGCCCCCATCAGAGCCGCAGAGCTATCAAGGCCCAAGCCAGGTGAGGGGTCCCTTCTGGCCATCCCAGGGCTATTTCTGCCCACACTGATGGGGCTGTGGAAGGGAGACAGCAGTGGTTCTGATTCCCCCCCTGCCAGCCACCCCCTCCAGCCCCCTGCCCAGCACCCCTTCTGCACAATCTTACATGACCATGGTGTGGATGAGAGGCTCAGCCAGTGGGGGAGTGGCTTTCCTCCACCTAGGCATCCTGGCCCTCCCACCCCCTTAGCCAGACCCTTCACCTTCCCCCAGCCAGGACCTGCTGACCCCTGCACCCACCCCAGTCCAAGACTCCTACAGCCCCCCCCAAATGTACCCTCCTGCCATCCCCTTCTGGGACCTCCTGCCCCCACCCCAGCTGACCTCCCAAGCAGCCCACCCCAACCAAGATGGAGGGAAGGTGAGGCAGAGAACCTGTTGTTATATTATTTGAAACCACCACTACCTCCACATATATTGGACTTCTGCTCACATAAACCCCAGCAAACTTCTGCAAACTTGTTCTTTGGTGCATGTTGTTAACAAATGTATCTATAGCATGTTGTATGCAATTTATTTCTTATATTATGCAATTTTAGAATTATAGAATTAAAATAGAGGATTTGGTCGATACGATATAAGGCTCTGGTAAAACAGGAGCAATATGAAGGTATTAATTCTTTGGAAGGCTTGCTGATTATCTGACTCAGGAGCTTTGGCTCCTGAGCCTGTGGAATGTGCTTCCTGGACTTCTTTCTCAGTACCTATTTCTCCTCTGGCATCAGCTCCAAATCTGGGACTCTTTCTCCACTTTGAGCCACTGTGAATCTATTCATATGTCTGGCTTCCTCATCAATTGGGGGAGTCTCTGTTCGGGCAGGATGATTCACTGCTGGCACTCCATTGTGGGAATGAGCTACTGCTAGTATTTGCCTAGCAGCTGGGCTAAACATGGAGTGGAGGGCTGAAAGGGAAAATATCAGAAGTATTTAGATTACAATAAACATTGCAACTACAATTATATCTAATTATATCTAACAGTACAACATTACAACTAAAAATCCAGTAATGATTAAGAATAGAAATTATTCCCATGTGTTGAGTGATTGATTATATACTATTAAAAGAATTCTACAAAAATGCTCACTGAATTTGAGAAACAGTTTTAATTCTTTGCTGAAGAGACCATCCTTTTGAAATTCTGCACAGTACTAATATATTACTGTATAGCTTTTAAAAATAGATAACATGCTATGTAAAATATATTAAAATATTTAAAAATTGTATACAATAATGCTTAACCATAATATCTGACTTACTCATAGTATGAAATGACCCTTAGTACAAAACCAAACTAAAAAGTAATAAAGAAAATATTTTATTTTAAAAAACATATCTACCGGCTGTGAATAATTTCGGACGGGGGGGTGTAGTTCACAGCAAAATTTTGGAGAAGTTTTCTTAAATGAATTGGATCATCTCAAGGTTTATCATCTGCTTTTCATCCGGCCACCAATGGGGCCGCAGAAGCCGCTAACAAAATGGTGGAGCAATATCTTAGATGCTACGTTTCCTACCAACAGACAAACTGGACTGATCTCCTCCCTTTTGCAGAGGTGGTGTACAATAATTCTGTGCACAGCTGTACCAGCTACACACCTTTCAGAGTGGCCACAGGAAAAGAATTCAACCCAATACCTGAATATCCTCAGTTGCCCTCTGCTTTCCAGACACTTGATCAGTGGGTGAGGGGATGGGAAGAAGTTTGGAAAAACACAAAAACTGCTTTAAAAAAGACTTTTGAAACCTATAAAAAGTAGGCGGATAGGAAGAGAGCTCCCCAAAGAACATTCCAAGTTGGGGAAATGGTTTACTTGTCCTGCAGAAGCCCAAACTATTGTAACTCATCGAGGGGCATTTATTTTCCTAAAAGTCAGTGATTGTTACAAAATGTCGGCACAGGCATAATGGAGGGATGCTAGGATCTAAGTTCTCTTCCTCTGAGCAATTAAATTATCAGCATGTTCCCTCCCTAAATTGCCATCATATATCACATTATCCAATTAGTGTAAAGGTCAAATGTTTTCTTCCTCTTTCTTTCCTGGGCTTTACCCCCACCCCCATTCTGCTCTGTATTAACCCCATAATTACCAGATAATTCTGCATATTGTCAAAAGTAAGAATATACAATATTTGCAGCATTGACATCAAGGGCAAAAGGGTGGAGTGAAAGAGGTGAAAAACAGTATTGTATACAGATTGAGCAGACAAAGCAATTAAGAGTTATGAAAGATAAAAAGAAACATATTCAGCCCATCAGAAAGAGCAAATCAGATTCTTTTAAAGACCAGACTAAACCTTGAGTCTGTCTTCCCCTGCAAAACTGCTTAAACAAACAAGATTCAAGCAAGATAGGAAGCAAACACAGGGTCATTAAAAAAGGACTCAGATGCCCTATACACTAAGGCTCAAAGTACGGGAAACAAACAGGATGAACTTGAAGATCTAGTACATGAAGGCAAATACGGTATCATTGCCATTATTGGTTTCAATGGCAGGGCTTTTTTTTTTGTCATAGAACACACCAGAACAGAGTTCTGACACCTTTTTTCAACGGATTTTCCAGAGTTGCATTCTTTTCCTATTGTTTCCCTTCCTATCCTCATTTGTTTTTGAAAATGCCCTGCTGGTGGTACAGTGTAAGCGGGGTCCCCTTCAGCGCTGCCTGCCTCCTCTAGGAGGAGCCATGAGATGCTGGAGCACCACAGCCAGAGCGTGTGGCTGGGTTCGACCATATGGCTGGGTCAGACCATGTGGTGTGGAAGCCAATGTGGCGGTGGGAGACACATAAACATGGAGGCCATCTTTCACAAGAGCGTAAGTGAGCCTTTTGTCCTCCCTTACAGAAGATAGGGTGTGAGGTTAAAAAGGGGCGAAGCAAGAGGAAAGAAAGGTGGCTGGCATGGAAGCTTGCCCAACAGCAAAACTTTGCTGTTTCAGTTCCTTGAGTAGTTCAAAATCTGGGATGTCTATGAAAATCTCTTTTTAGTCTTTTATACTTTATACACAAACTGTAGAGGGGAAGAATAAGAATAAAACCAATGTCTTGTGATTTGAAGGTATTAATAATAATAATAATATATATTAATATATCGGTCAGATGTAAAAGTAGACCTACAGTGTGAGGTTTAATCAGATCTATTTATTAAATGGGTTTAACTTAAAGGTAAATTAAAAGTAATATGTTCAATGACAAAGTTTCAACTTTAATTTGTTTCAAGTCAATATCCATATTAAACTCCAAATGTAAATTTTTCCACCTTGTTTGACAACTTCTTAAAAATAATTCAATCTTCTACAAGCAACTAAATTTTGTTTTATTGGGCCAATTTCATTCCACATAGAAAGCTGACATTTCCACTCATTAAACTAAATGGGTATGCCAGTGGTAAATGTCCCAAAAAATTAATAAAATGCCTTCTTGTAATTTAAAGCCACACAATGCATAGTAACATTATTAGTATTAACTTACCTTGAACAAAATCCTAGTCTTTTAGATACACTAAAAATTGAAGGTTTTTTTTTTCAACTATAAAGGTAAATCTTGTAGGGTAGCCAAAGCAGGTTGTATGACGTATGTGAGTTGCAGCAGCTTTTTTTTTTTTTTACAAAAAAAAGCATTGCATATAAATATTAATCACTGTCCATCTTAAATACATAATGGAAGGAGGAAGCTTTAGAGTTCACAAGGTTAATACTGTATGGAACAAAATTGTGATTGAATCTGGATATTCTACTTTGGATACCACGGAGCCTCCTCCCAGAAGGTAACAAAGAAAACAGGTTGTGAAGAGGATGTGTAGTCCCAGACAATCTACAGCTAGAAGGATTTAAATTGTTCAAAATAAACAGACCTAATAAAGGAGGAGATAGAGCTGGGTTATATATATATACAAAAATAGCTACACCTCTATAGAAAAGGGGGGGAAACTGATGGAAACCTTCTCTAAAAGGAAGAAGGAAAGACATTGCCAATACTCCAGAAGATAGGCTCAAGATATAGAAGGATATAGAAGGATCTTGACAAACTTGAACACTGGGACCTATCTAACAAAATGAAATTCAAATTCAGAGAAAAGTAAGGTTTTACATTTAGACAAGAAAAACCAGGTATCACCTATTCTGCATAGGTACAGAATAGATGATACCTGGTCAACAGTAGTAACTGCGAAAGGGATCTTGACTCCTAGTTCAGGGCTTTTCAACCTTTTCACCCATTGTACCACTTTTAGGATATGGCAATATCTGAGTACCAACAGTCACCTAGCAAGGTGTCAAAAACTTGATGACCCCCCCCCCAAAAGAGGAAAAACGTGATAAAGTATAGGTAGTCCTCAACTTACAACAGTTTGCTTAGTGACTGTTCGAAGTTACAACGGCACTGAAAAAGTGACTTATGAAAATTTTTCACACATGACCATTTCAGCATCCCCCGGGTCATGTGATTTACATTCGGATGCTTGGCAACTGATTCATATTTATGACAGTCACAGTGTCACAGTCACAGTGTCCCAGGGTCAGGTGATCCCCTTTTGCAATCTTCTGACAAGCAAAGTCAATGGGGGAACCAGGTTCATTTAACAACCTTTTATATCAGGGTATCAAATTCAATTTAATTGAGGGCTGCATTAGCATTGTGGTTACTGTCAGGGGGGTTCCTTTTTTCCTTTTTCCCTCCCTCCCTGCCTCTCTCCTTCTCATTCCCATCTCCTTCCTTCCTTCTTCCCCTCCCTCTTTCCCTCTGTCTCATTCCCATCTCCTTCCTTCCTTCCTCCCCTCATTTCCCTGCCTTTCATTCCCATCTCCTTCCTTCCTTCCTCCCCTCATTTCCCTGCCTTTCATTCCCATCTCCTTCCTTCCTTTTTCCTTCCTCCCTCTCTGCCTCTCTCTCTTTCTCATTCTCATTCTCAGCTCCTTCCTTCCTTCCTTCCTTCCTTCCCTCCCTCCCTGATCCTGGCACTTCTGCTGAGCCCTGACACCTGATTGGTGCTTCTGCAGGACTGTCAGGGATCAGCAGAACACCAGGATCAGCACCAGTCTCCAGCTGATCGGTGCTTCTGTGGGGCTCAGCAGAAGTGGCAGGCTCATCGCCAGGCTCCAACTGATCGATGCTTCTGTGGGGCTCAGGATCAGTGCCTGGTGCTTCTGCTGAGCCCTGACAGCCCTGCAAAAGTGCTGATCAGTTGGAGCCTGGCGCTGATCCCAGTGCTTCTGCTGAGCCCTGCAGAAGTGCCAATCAGCTGGAGCCCAGCTGTAAGGACCCACTTCAATCCCACATCTTAAGAAAGCAGAACTCTTAGAAACAATTTCTTCCAACAGGAACTTTTATTAAGAGTAGTTGATAGCAGGCATAATAAACAGGATCTGAGGGATTCTTTACAGATCGATACTTTAAAGGATCCCTAACCAAACCCCACCCCACAGTTCATCCACATGGTTCAGACCAGCCAATCCCAGGTGTTAAGTCAATTGTGGGAAAGGGAAGATAACATCGGTCTGGCTCCGTTTGTAGCATGATGTTTCACAGCTCTTCACATCTCCTTTTGAGACCAGAGAAATAAGCCACGTTCCGGATGTTTGTATTTCCTCCCCCCCTTTTCCTAGCTGCCAGGTTAGGGAGAAGAAAGTTCAGAGAGATGCATAGTGCAGGAGACAATTTATTACATTGTAATGGGCAGCAGATACAGAGGCAATAAACAAAAGGTTACATTGTAGCGAATAGAGAAAGTGAAAGCCATAACCCCGCAGGCATATCCCCCCTCCCTCTTGGGAGTATGGCAGAATCCAGGAGAAGGTGAGATTTGGTTTTAGATAAGAGGAGATAGATAGAAATGAAATATAAGTGGGTTCTGACACCGGCGCTGATCCTGGCATTTCTGCTGAGCCCTGACAGCCCTGCAACTC